GACGACGATGCTGATGATGATGGTGATGATGCTGCTGATGCTGCTGATGCTGCTGATGATGATGCTGGTGCTGATGATGATCATGCTGCTGATGCTGATGCTTATGACGATGAAGAAGCCGACGCTGCTGGTGACAACGACGATGATGCTGATGATGCTGTCGATTGATTGATCGATGTAATGATTGACCGGTTGATTGATTGATGTAGTTGTTGATTGATTGTTTGTTTGGTTGATGTTGCTGCTGCTGCTTCTGATGATGACGATGATGATGATGACGATGATGACGATCGTGCTGATGATGCTGATGCTGATGATGATACCTACGGTGATGATAATACTGATGTTGCTGATGATGATGATGATGCTGATGCTGATTCTGATGATGATACTGCTGCTGCTGCTGATGATGATGATGATGATGTTGATGATGATGATGATGATGATGTGAATATTGAGTTGGTGATGATGTTGCTTGTGGTGCTGATGATGTGACTACATGGTGATAGGATGATAGGATGATGGGGACGAGGACGAGGAGGATGAGGAGGCGGACGAGGAGGACGAGGATGAGGACGAGGAGGAGGAGGCGGACGTGGAGGAGGAGGGGGAGGCGGAGGAACTGAATGATCAGGAGGGGGAGGAGGAACACGAGCAGGGACAGACGGAGGAGGACGAGGAGAAGGATGATATCCAGTGTAGACCCATGACCCATCAACGATGTCGAAATACACCCTCCCAAAGGTCCTCCTACATAGGCCCCTTATAAGGAGTCACTCCAATGAGGGACATGCTCCGTTGGGGGACAACTGTGTGAACATCTTGAAGCTTCCCAAAACACCGTTCACAGGACTTCAACGCCACGTGCCATCCGATTTTTACGTACGTCCTGGCGATCTTGAGTCGTGCCAGAGCGCAGTTCCTGGGACTTCTAGCACAGCGAGTCAACGCACTTGTTGCTCCCTGACAATCCCGAGTCGTTCCAAAACGCAATTTCTGGTATTTTAACCATGAGAACCAATGAAACTCTTGCAACTGTTCTAGACGAGTGTGCACGGCGTTCGTTCGAAAACGACCCGTCCTCAATCCGTGAAGCCCTGGCAACGTTTGAAAAGACGTTCGCGGCGCTAAGGCGAGGGCCAGATTTTGTCAACGAACCGCCCTCAATCCGCGAAGCTCTTGCAAAGTTGCATGCCGCAATCCGTGGAGCCCTGGCAACGTTTTAAAACGCATGTGCGCCGCACACAGGCGATAGCCACATTTTGAACACGAGCTGCCCTGAATCCGTGAAGCTGTTGCACATCAGCGAATATGCACGGCGCTAAGGCGAGAACCACACTTTGAAAACGACCCGCCCTCAATCCGTGAAGCCCTGACACAGTTTTTAACGAATGTGTGCGGCGCTAACGCGAGAGCTACATTTTGAAAACGAGCCGCCCTCAATCCGTGAAGCTCGTGCAAATTTGTAAACCCCAACCCGTAAAACTCTTGCAGTCTTGGAAAACGAATGTAGGCGGCGCCACGGCGGGAGACACATGTTGAAAAAGAACCGCCCCCAATCCGTGAAGCTCTTGCACATTAGCGAATGTGCGCGGCGCTAGGGCGAGAGCCACATTTTGAAAACGAGCCGCCCTCAGCCCGTGAAGCTCTGGCAAAGCTTAAAAAAAACACATGTGCGCGGCGCTATGGCGAGAGCCACATTCTCAATACGAGCCGTTCTCGATGCGTGAAGCTCTTGCAAATCTGTAAGCCTCAATCCGTGAAGCTCTCGCATCTGTTTCAAGCGAATCTACGCGGCGCTAAGGCGAGAACCACATTTTGAACACGACCCGCCCTCAATCGGTGAAGCTCTGGCGAAGTTTTAAACGAATGTGCGCGGCGCCAGAGCGAGGGCCACATTTCGAAAACGAGCCGCCCTCACTCCGTGAAGCTCTGGCAAGTTGTTATTCGAATGTGCGCGGCGCTAGAGCGAGAGCAACATTTTGGAAGCGATCCGCCCTGCATCGGTGAAATTGTTGTCAATTTTTGTTTCCAACATCAGGGTCATAAATAGTGAGGGACTCATGCGGAACGCCCTGTCCGCCCTTTCGATCGGCCTCGGGGTGCGACAGGGAGGAGTTGTCTATACGGAAAAGGAACGGAGGAGGATGAGGAGGAGGAAGAGGAAGAGGAGGAGGAGGAGTAGGAGGAGGAGGCGGAGGAGGAGGACGAGGAGGAGGAAGAGGAGGAGGAAGAGAAGGTTCGGGGGGTGGGGCGATCGCTCAGATACTTTCCATCTTTTTCTTTCTTCCCGACCCTTGCCCCCCCTCCCTTCGCGCCCTGTTTTCTTGTCTGGGCTGCCATTGGCCAGTCTCCAGTTGGTTGGGTGGGGAGGAGGAGGAGGGTGAGGCGCAGCGGGCGAAGCAGTCAAGCGCACGAGCGGCGCGGCGGCGGCATCGCAGGGCAAGTCCAAGGGCTTCGGCTTCGTCTGCTTTGCCTCGCCGGATGAGGCCACCAAGGCGCGAAATCAGAGTCCAGGGGCAAGGGGATAATGATAACCCGCATTATGTAAGTGGGTATGTATGCATGCATTTGCTGTGTGTTCGTATGTATGCATACCGCGTATGCACGTATGTGTGTATGCATGTACGTATGAATGTATGCACGTATGTAAGCATGCATGTATGCATGCATACATGTATGTAAATGTTCACATGCGTGGAACATGTGTATGTGTATGTGTATATCTGTATATGCCTATGTATGCGTACCTGCAGATGTACATGTGCGGTTGTCTGTATTTGTATATGCGTGTGCATAATCAGACGTACACATATGCTTATGTAGTGTACGTGTACATGTGCATGTGCATGTACATGCATACGTATATCTATAGTGTTTGCACGTGTATGTATGTATGAGTTTATGTGTGTAAATGTCTATGTCTATGTATACGTATATGAACATGTACATGAACATGTGCATGCCAATGCATTTCTATTAGTATCAGTGTATGTAAATTTGTATATATATATGTATGCGTCTATGCATCTACATGTACATGTGCATGCAGCTACATGCATACGTGTACACATACATGTACATGTGTACATGCATATGCATATTTATATGTACTTGTATCTGTAGCACTATATGTGCATGTATATATGGACATACATATCGTACGTCTACATGTGTGCGTACTTGTATATGTAGATATATATGTATAGCAGTACATGCGTATATACATATATGCACATGTATAGTTACATGCATATGTATATGTACATGCATACGTGTGCTTATTTGCATCTGCATATGTGTATGAACATGTATATGTATATGTGCATGCGTATATATATGTATACATGCATATATATATATATATATATATATATATGCGCATGTATATGTTTGATTATGTATATATATATGTATAAAAATGTGTACATGCTGGTGTATATGCATATGGCTATGCATATTTCTATGCACACACATATATACATATATATGTATGAATGGGGCGCACGTGCATATGTGGATGTGCATGTATAGGTACATGCACATGTTCATGTAGATGTAGATGAACAAGTCTGTGTATACCTAGATGTATATGCATTTACAGATGTATATGTATAGGTGTGTCCGTGTATATGTATATATGCTTAAATGCATGACTCATGCTAGACGTACTGAATATGAATGTGTATATGCATCTGTATCTTCATGGCTTCGCCCTGTGCAGCCGGCGTCCCTCTTCCTAGTGCGGGCGGCTGCGCGTGGGGTATCCGTGGGGCCTCTTGGGGGTCTCCTTGGGGCCTCTTGGGGGCCTCTTGGAGGTCTCCTTGGTGCCTCTTGGGGGTCTCCTTGGGCCTCTTGGAAACAATATGTTGGTCTCTTGGGAATCTCATTGGGGCCTCCTGGGGCCTCTTGGGGCCCTCTCGGGGCGGAAAGGTCGAGTTTTCGGTTCGTGGACTCCCTCTTGGGCCTCTCTTGGGACCGTCTTAGGGCCCTTTTGGGCCGCCTGGGGCGCCTCTTGGAGCGTCTTGGGGCCCTCTTCGGTCGTCTTGGGGCCGTCTTGAGGGCCTCTTGGGCCGTCGTGGGGGCTTCGAGGGCCGTCGTGGGGCGATCTTGGTAACTTCTTGGTCCGTCTCGGAGCGTCGGAAAGCCGAAAAGGCGAGAAGGCCAAAACCATTCAAAAACGTCAGGAAGCTCGTCGTTTTTTTGCTTTGTGGGGCTCTCTTGGAAGGCCTCTGGGAGGCCTCTTGGGCCGTCTTGGGAGCATCTTGGGGCGTCTTGGGGCCATCGTGGGACGTCTTGGGGCCATCTTGGGCCGTCTTGGCCTTTGAGGCTCTCTTCGGAGCCTCTTCGGGCAATCTTGGAGGCCTTTCGGGCCGTTCTGGCCGCGCGGTGGCGTCACCATGAGAATCCTGGGGTGGCCCAAAGCAGCCAGGATTTGAGGTTCGCCCCCCCGTTGGCTGTTTGGTGACGCGGCGGGGCCCCCCAGCAGACAGTAAACAGGAGGCAGGAAACAGGACTGGAGAGACAAAAGACCAAACAACAAATGACAACACATAGCACACGACAGCAGACTGCACACACCTTCGCAGCCTTGCGCTCCCGGAGGGGGCTGGCGGGTGCCCGGGTGCCCGGGGGTGCCCGGGTGCCAGGGTGCCCGGGTGCCCAGGGGTGCACGGAGGTGCCCGGGGGTGCCCGGAGGTGCCCGGGGTTGCCCGGGTGCCCGGGTGCCCAGGTGCTCTATCGCCTTATAGCTCTTTAGCTCAATAGCCATAGCCCAATAGCCCATATAGCCCTATAGCTCTATAGCCCTATAGCCCTATGGCCCTATAGCCCCATAGCCCTACAGCCCTGTAGCCCTATAGCCCAACAGCCCACTAGGCCAATGGGCCATATAGCCCAATAGCCAATATAGCCCAATAGCCCATATAGCCCTTTAGCCCTATAGCCCTGTAGCCCTATAGCCCAATAGCCCAATAGCCCAATGGCCCTGTAGCCCTATAGCCCAATAGCCCAATAGCCCAATAGCCCATATAGCCCTATAGCCCTATAGCCCTATAGCCCTATAGCCCTACAGCCCTATTGCCCTACAGCCCTATAGCCTTACAGCCCTATAGCCCTATAGCCTTATAGCCCTACAGCCCTATAGCCCTATAGCCCTATAGCCCTACAGTCTTACAGCCTTATAGACCCATAGCCCCATGGCCCTATAGCCCTATAGCCCAATAGCCCAATAGGCCAGTAGGCCATATAGCCCATAAACATTATTCACTGCGTGGGGATCCCCATATGTGCATCTCCTTGCTGGCGCTCCCTTGGTGGTGGGACTCGGTGAGGACGAATCTGGATTTAAGTGTGACTGAGCTGCCTCTCTCTCTGCTCTCTCTGCTCTCTCTGTCTCTCTCTCTCTCTCTGCCCTCTCTCTGTCTCTGCCTCTCTTTCCCTGCCTCTCTCTCTCTCTGCCTCTCTCTCTGCCTCTGTCTCTCTGCTCTCTCTCTCTCTCTGCCTCTCTCTCTGTGCCTCTCTCTCTCTGCCTCTATCTCTGCCTCTCTCTCTCTCTCTCTCTCCTCTCTCTCTTCTCTCTATTCTCTCTCTGCTCTCTCCTCTCTCTCTCACTCTCCCTCTCTCTCTCTCTCGCTCTCTCTCTTCTCTTCTCTTCTCTTCTCTTCTCTCTCTCTCTATCTCTCTCTCTCTCTTTCTCTCTCTCTCTCTCTCTCTCTCTCTCTCTCTCTCTCTCTCTCTTCGCTCTCTCGCTCTCTCTTGCTCTCTCTCGCTCTCTGTCGCTCTCTCTCGCTCTCTCTCTCTCTCTCTCTCGCTAGTCTCGGCTCGAGAGTGCCCAGCACTCAGACCGCAGCCGCGACGCGAAGCGCCCCGCCTCGGAGTCAGACTCCCAGGCCTCGCGAGACCGGAGGGGTCCCAGCAGGACCCTACTGATTCGCGTCACCTCCCCCCACCAGAGCGCCCGCAGCAATGGCCCCCAGTAAGCCGGAGCGCCGTCGCTCTTCCAAGCAGCCTCCGAGCTCACGTCCTGCTGCTGAATGGTCTCTCCTCCAACGCAAGCAGGACTGCATCGCAGCTTTCAAGCAAGCGGGGTCTGACCGCCCCACGGCCGCATACAACGGGCTTGCCGAGCTGAACGCGGACGAGCTTCAGGCCACGTACGACATGCACAAGACCGACACAAAGAAGCTCGGCAGTGCCTTGATCCGCATGTGTGCCGCCAACCAGATCAGCTACGCGCTGGATCACCACCAGCGCAGCAAGCCTAAGCGCATTGGTGGTGACACATCACACCCACCAGCTGCGTCCGCACGTCTTCAGGCTGCGGACACCCAATTCATTGCCTTGGACCCGGCCTTTTGGAAGGTCCCAGTCCTCGCCGAACCCACATCACTTGACGACGGCAAGACGTACAAGCCCAGTATCAGCCTCCACGACTACGAGAGCGGTGAACGGCTGCTGCAACACCACCTCGAGCAGGGTAAGCGTACACGGGTCAGCTTGCGATTGCTGTCATGGGCCCAAAAAACGATAACTACGTCGGTACCGAGCTCGCCGTCCCCGTGCTGAAGCGTCACCCCAAGGCGCCCAAAGTGGTCCACACGCACGTCCCCGTGACCGTGTACCAGCTGGGCACCAAGGAAGTCGCCTGCACGGAAAAAGTAGCCGTCGCCACCATCGACCCTGCCGACCACGTATGCTGGATTCGGGCGACCATACATGAAACCGAGGCCATCGCCGCAGTCCCCTCCATGCATCAGGCCTTCGAGGACCAGTTCTCGGGAGGTGCCCCCGTGAACGGTGGTCCACGCGCCAAGGGTCCTTTCCGAGGGGACTCCGCTCCACAGGACAAGGCGCGCCAAAACCAAAAGCACAGGGAGTCCAAGAAAGACGCTCGCCGCCAGGAGCTCGATAGTCAGCTCCAGGACACCTTCAAGGCCCTCTTCCACGGCAACTTTAAAGCCGTCACCATCCTCGAACCCTGCAAAAGCCTAGGCAGGTATGGATCGGGCGTCGGAAAGAGGTCCCTGGCTGCCACCTTCGGCGTCAGTCTTCAAGCGGTTGACAAGGTCTTGGCGGGTTCAGGGCAACTCGGCGCCACCTACGACCTCAGCAACGTAGGTGCAGACGAGCCCACTGCAGACAAGTACCAGACCGTGTGGTTCCCCGAGGACCAGCCCATCACGATGGCAGATGCGTTCCAGAAGTCGGTGGATTTCAAGGCCCTAGGAGTCGTCAGGCACGGCAAGTCAGGCTTATTGGGGATCCGTGTTGCACGAGGGTCAGACGCCGCCAAGGCTGCTGCCGTCAGCATCCGTGGCTGCGAAGCCACCCTCGCCAAGACGCGCTACCGCATCACTGGCATTGCGGCACGCCACGCCACGCTGACCCAGCTCGCTAAGACTCTCACGGGCCCGTCCGTCAAATGGGACTGTGAGGTCTACCACACCGCCTGGGACCCAGCCACTTCGGCTCAGTTTGCCTTAGTGCGCGCCCATCGTC